ACCCAATGGGCGGGTGGGTATTTTTCTTTGACTTGAGACAGCTGCTCTTTGAGTGAATGCTTGAACTTGAGATGCTGAACCCTAAACCCTAAACCCTGAACCCTAAACCCTAAACCCTAAACCCCAAGGCAGGCGAGGTTCGAGCCACTCAGCGACTTCAGCTGAGACGCCCGGGAAGTGCATGCGTGGCAGCTTGTAGTCAGGATGCACGTCCTGCAACAAACAACAGGTTTAGGGTTTGGGTTTAGGGTTTAGGTCCCTTTAACGGGATTATATAGGGTATATATTGTGGCTTTAGAAGGATACTGGAAAAGAAAATGGAAGCTAATATCTACGGTTTAGGGTTTGGTGTTTAGGGTCCTGCCTCCGCCCATTAACAGTCTATATTAGGGGTCATATAAAGGGTCATATATAAATAGATTGAGAATATTCTCCAACTGTTAATTGATGAGTGGGGGGAGTACCCAAGTTACCCTTGCGTTCCAAGCTTCGAAGCGATACCAACTTTAGGCCCCAAAGTCTATGAATACCACCTGCTTTGGGGTCTTGGGATCCAAAATGATACAATGTTAGTATTAGTATCTCTGTTATGTAGTATGAAAAAACGTTCATTGTAGCTTTTTCTTGTTACAAACATCAATGTTGCAACTGTCACTATTGTTGTCATTATCACTCTTGCTGTTATTTTCATTGTTGCGGTTACAACTTCTGAACTTAGTGTGAGTCTTATTGTTATTGGTGCTGTCAGTACCGTGAATAGTATTTGTGTTGTTAGTCTCAATATTCTTGCTCTTGTTTATCATGATTGCTGCTCTTCTATAGGTCTGTTGCAAACATTGTTATTCCTATGGTTTTATGTAGTATCAGAACTACGTCTTATTACACCTTTGCTTTCAAGACTCCAGCCCATGCTGTTCCCATATTCCCGTTAGTACTGTTGATAGGGTTACAATGTTACTAGCCTGCTGCTGTCAGTACTTCACGAGCCTGAATAACAATGTCTTTGGGGTAAACCCTAAACCCTAAATGGGGATCTATGTTTTTTTTAGAATCGCGGGCCCCTTTGGGCATTAATACCAGTTTCCGCACCTGTTCAGGCTTCTGACGCGGCCATTTGTACTGTAAAGTCAGCAGAAGCTGGAAGGGGCCTAACCGAAGTCATAGCCACATACATAGGAAAAGACGCTTTGTTTCAGGACCTCCCGTCCCATTGCCCAAATGCCCAAGAATGTGGCGCAAGATGTTCAATACTTTGCTGTGGCATTGTTGCCTGTAGCATTCCCATGTACTCCTATTTTTTATTTCTTGAACTATTGTATTCGCGTTGCCAGAAATATCAAAGGCAAGATTCTGAAGATCAGTGTATCCAAAATCTGACGATCACACTCCTTCCTTGCCAAACCGACCTGACAACAAATGTAAGACTGCGGGATTCGGGTAGAATGTAGAACCCCTTTCACCGTTCGCCGTCAATCCTCGGCCCTTCAGTTGGGCCCCCACCCCGAATAGTGTCCACCAGGGATACCGGTAAGTATCTTTGAATCCCTCTCTCTCTATATATATGTATATACAAACTACAATATACAGTGATATCGTACCACTAAAGCCGAGTAGCCCAATCCAACTTGACCCTTCATCAACCCTACTCTCGCACGCCTCTTCGGCACCCTTGCCATGGTAAGGCCTGAGTTGCTGTTAAGGAGCTTATTTCAAGTTGCTGTATTGGGGAAACCATATTAATTACTATATACACCCATTATGGTAGCTTAATTTAAGTTGCCATATTGGGGAGACCATCTTAATCATCACATATACCCATCATGGTAACTTAAGCCCTAAACCCTAAACCCTATGTAGCCCCTGTATACCCATAAGGGTAACTTCATTTAACAGCAACCCAGTGGCGTCCAGGGTCCCGGGGATCCGTCTTTCAACAGGCGCTCTGCCTTGCAAACTTCACAGATGGGAGCTTGCCCGGGGAACCTATCTACGGTGGTGTAGGCAGCTGGTATAGCAGTCATGATTTACTTAGGGCTAGGCCCCAGATGGATCTTACACCAGTTGGTTGCATGGCCGGTGAAAATCATATCCTGCCTTTGCAACGCAGCGACGGAGGTCTCAAGGTTTCCAATATGCGCGCGTTCGAGTGCTGGAATCCGCGCCGTCAGGGCGGTGCAAAATGAAACAGTGAGGCAGCCTAATGCTTCAATTATCCTGATCCCAAAGCAAGTGCCCCGCCTCTCTGTGGCGAGCTGACCAGCCAGTGCGAATGCAAACCAGACTTCCTCAAGCAGGAGTGCGAACAGAGCAGACCACTGAACAACAATAAGCTCAGCACAGCTGATGCTGCAGTGCAGGTTGTAGGCAGGGCATGTCCGGCAAATTCTTGGCAAACTGCTGCTCAGTGGAAGCACGCTGTTCTGCATATACCTCTAGGCAAGTCTATCTGGTGCTGGTGCTCAAGGTAGTGAGGAACATCCAAACTGGCACTGCATGCTAAAGCTCGTTACGATTCAACTTTGAACAAGCTGCACCTGTGGGGATTCATTCGTCTATATGCAGACAGATTCGATATAATCCTTTATGCGGAATCTACATGAGCCGTGGACTAAACTTCCAGTGCGGCCCCTCATAGGTTGCCTTAGACCCCCTTAGGTATTCCTCAATAGGTGCCCCTAAGCTACCTATACGTAGTTTGTAGCTCACACAAAACTCCCTTTCGTCAGAGCAAGCCCTTGTTGCTTGCAGCGGAGAACTCCAAACCCCAAACCCTAAACATCCCCAAACCCTAGAACCATGTTGTTTGCAGCAGAGAACTCCAAACCCCAAACCCTAAACATCCCCAAACCCTAGAACCATGTTGTTTGCAGCGGAGAACTCCTAACCCCAAACCCTAAACATCCCCAAACCCTAGAACCATGTTGTTTGCAGCGGGCAACTCCTGGAAGAATGCCGCCATGAAGCTCCTCGTCGGCCATGATCTCCTCATGGGTCACCTGTCAATCACGGGAAGAGCTAGTAAAGAGGTACACATAGTGGATATATGGGGCTTATATGGGGTTATATAGGGGTCATCTAGGGTTGCATAGGGTATATGTAAGTATAGGGCCTTTATATGGGCGTTTATAAGGGGAGTCTATAGGATGTATAGGGGCATAATTGGAAGCGTCAATCAGGCCCATACAAGGAACTGGCTATCCGGCTAGCCAGTACAGAGCAGCTCACACTGCCTTGACTCCTAACCCTGCGTGTAGGGTGACCCTGCGTGTAGAGTGCCCCTGGAACTTTAAACCAAGTAACATACCCTGAATCCTAGACCCTAGCCCTAAACCCAAAAAAACCCTGAAAATAGTAGTTTTCAAAATTCTTTTCCATGATCCCAAACGTAACACCTATATAACCATATATAACCCTATATAACCCCTATATCACCCCTATATAACCCCTATATAACCCCTATATAAGCCTATATAACCCCATATTCGGCACCTCAAACGCATTAGGATTCTCGGGCTGAGCTACTTCTGCTGTTCTACGTTTGCTTTACTGCATATAGGGATTGTGTAGGAGGTTTAGGGTGGGCTATATTGGGAAAATGGAAAAGAAAATGGAAACGCGATTGTACAGGGGTCATATAGGGCTTATTATCTGCCACTGCTGTTGTAGCTGATTACTGCTACGATTCCTGCTGATGCGGCGGCTCCCAGCACCCTTTAAAGCTTAAGCCCTTAAAACTCAGATTAGCTGATTAGGGTTTAGGGTTCAGGGTTTACGGCCAGTTCCCTGCGAGGCCCCCATGGTACCTGGTGATCCGGATCTGCAGCACAGGCCGTGGAGACGTCTACCACTGCCAAAGGGACTCCCACGAGCTCATCCAAGCGTAGCTGGTCGATAGTTCGCCCACCTGCGACAGGATCATACAGGACGGAGGCCCCTGGGCATAAGGGTTCAGGGTTTGGGGTAGGGCATACGAGCGACACAATGCCTGTCAGCTCATATTTGGTAGTTTCCCAAAATAAGGGGGACCCGAGACCCCCCAAAACGGTACCCCTAAACTTGGGAAACCCCCATTTGTCTGCGCATGTTGTACTAGACTCGCTGTGCGGTTGAGGGTTTGGGGTTTGGGGTTCAGGGTTTAGGGTGTAGTTGCTATATTGGGGTTATATCGGGATAATAGAAAATAAAATGCAAACTACTATCTCGGGTTTAGGGGAAAAGAAATGGAAACTACTATAATACAGGGTTTAGGGTGTAGTTGCTTGCCAAGCGTTGGACTCTGTTGGTCGTGGTTTGCGCGAGTAAGGGCTCAGCACTTTATCAGGATTTTGCATGGGGTGGGTAATGTAGCAGCCTGAATAAAGACGATGTGACATACATTAGTTTACGTAATGTCAGCTGTCAGAGGGAACGTTTTTCTCTATTAGGGGCAAGGGATTTTTGTTTTAGCGCTGGTGATTCCTTTGGCTTCTATATTGCAGCGAATAGTTCAAAAAAGGTCCGAACCTCGGTCTGAGGCGGCTTGTTGTATCCCTTTCTTAGAGGGTTTTGGGTTTATTGCAGGTTCACAGGGCTTGTTACGTAACTGGGCAAGGGTTAAACACAGACTAAATCCAACTAGGGGATTTATACCTGCCTTATTAAGTCCCCCTGGGTCCCTAAGTACTTCCTAGAACCCCTACGTGCAGAATCCCATTGTTCATTACACGTTCCATGTTGCTTTCCATCTGCTTCTCAACTACATACACCCCTATGTACCCCTATACACTTTTTTTTCGTAACCCAGCAGTGACCCAATAGCAGCCCCATTAGCCGTTAAGGGTTTAGGGTTTGAGGGTGTCACTAAACCATAAACCCTAAATCCCAATGAAAATTGAATCGCCGAGCGACCTGGGAGTCCTGTGAATGACAGTGCACTTGCAGGGGTTAACGGGTTGTGGCTTGAGGAGTTCAGAGTTAGGGAAAGCATGAAAAACGCGCTGATGTAGGAGCTCCCGGAATTAGACTAGGGTTTCGGAGTGTATTGTGCTACAATTGTGTAAGGATTGTTGGGGTGCTATGCAGGTTCTTGTTATCTGAACCTTTCTCTTACTCAGCCAAAGAAGCTCCTTTCAATCCATTTGCGAATCTGACGATGTCTTTTTGAGGTCCTTGCCGCGTATCTCAGAACACATGGGCTTTAAAACCGTGCACCGCAAACCCCCCACTCTCCGTGGATAGTTTCCGCGCGGAAGCAGACCTCATCTTCATTATAACATGCCAGCCACAGCAGTGACTACCACATCAAATGCACACTCAGCGAGGTTCTGTCCTGAGGTGCCCTAAATCTTAAACCCCTGTAGAAAGGACCTTATATTCAGCCTGCAACGGTCAGAGGGTCCTTACTACACCCTAAACCACAAACCCTCAACCCGAAACCCAAAAGCTCCAATGCAGGCAGGCCTGCTATAAAGTGAGACGGAGCGTCCACGTGGGTCCCTGTCCCACCATTCAGTTCAAAGGCCTGTTTTCCACCTTAGTTAAGGTTTAGGGTTAGGGTTTGGCCTTTGGGTTTAGATAGAGTTTAGGGTTTAGAGTTTGGGGTTTACAGTTCAGGGCTTTTACAGAGTCACAATCTATATTCGGGGTCATAGCATGGGCTATCAAAATTACCCAAGTGTTACCCTCACCGCTTCTTGCCTCTTCTACCGACTTGCACTCTCGGCGCATCAGATTGGTTCACACAAGTCCCTGTGCAATCCCGAAGGGGGGCCTTCATTCATAATACCACTAGAAGTGACGTATCTCCAGCTAGTCATGAATGTTATGTGAGCTATAGTCCACACTCCTAGCATACCCTTTAATAATCCCTATAGTAGTCCCCTATTATAATCCCTATACAACCCCTTTAAGGAGTTTAGACTATAGCTCATGTGAGGCCACACAGAAGCCAAAACACGTGCGCCCGGTGGTTCCGTGGTCTCTGGAGCTCGTATCACCATGCGCCGGAGCGCGCAAACAGTGGGCCAGGAAGGCGAGCACTCATCCAGGGCCTAGCTGTTTAGGGCTTAGGGTTGCGGTTATATAGGGATAAGGGAAAAGAACCAGGAAACTACTATAGTTAGGGTTTAGCGTTTAGGGCTTGGGGTTTAGGGCCTAAGTAGGGTTTGGGGTTAATGGTTTAGGACGCCTAGGTTGGACCTTAGGGCTTTGTAACGCCCTCTAAAGGACAATGAATCCTGCAAAAAGGCTAAATATATGGGTGAAACCTCGTGCCCGATCGCCCTTACAAGCCTCTGTTAATTTAAGGCGGGTCTTATTACATGCCCCTTGTCGCGCATTGTCGCGCTGCTATACAAGACTTAGAATATACGCATGGTATTGGAAGGCTTGTCGCGCCAGGTGTGCCCCTCTGACATACCCCTTGTAACGGGGTATGCAGCATGTATGAGCCCCGGACTTGTTACAAGCCCTTGGTTGTTGACCCACTCCCACATGTTGGGTCCGACTTTTCAGTCCCACCTTGAAAACTTTGACTTGGGGCTGTTCCAGGGCGTAGGCTCTTTGATTTGTGGTGTGGGTTGTTTTGGTTCGTTTCGAGTTTGGCAGTTTAGATTTAAAGCGTGAGTTGCTTTGTCTGGGTGGGAAATGAAGGATTGAGTGCGTCTTACTCTGGGAGACTCGGGTTCCCGTTGCAGCAAGCCCTTTGTCACACAGCCCCCGAGCCTGCAAGTTTTGAAAGCTGTAGCACTTAAACTTAGAGTACTTGGGATCTAGGGTCTTTGGTTTTGGTCGATGCTAAAGGATTTTGGGCAGTCGGGATGTTCGTCCGCCCAGCAGCTTGAGCTTTGCAGATTTTGCATATAGGGTTTAGGGTTGATAACTTCCACAATTCTTCTTGCATGAAAATTGATTGTGTGGCGCTACAGGGCTACTTGTGCTAATTGCCGCTCCTAAGTTTTGCCCTTCGATCCTTTTCAGCAGTACAGCTGCCGCAGTGGCCAGGCTTTCTAATAGTCCGCATGATTACGCCCCACCCACTGTATAGTAAACCTGAGATGCTTTGGGAAAAGGACTCTTCTGAGCGCAGCTTCTACGGTATAGAATGGCTTGTCCGAATGTTGTGAGTTGAAACCAAAAACCATGGAACAAAGGAACCTAGGTGTCTGTGAGGCTTTTGGCTCCGGATTCAGGGGTCTAGGGTTCAGGGCAAGGCCTATACACCCTGAACCCCAAGCGAATTAGGGTTTAGGCTTTAGGGTTCAGGGCTTCCCCATGGGTACATCCATACTTGCTGTATTCTTTTAGGATCCCAAACACCTGGAACACAAAAAAGGATAGGAAGGTCCCACATGGACACAACACCCAATGGACGCCCAACTACATCTGTACACATATATATATATATACTGTTTAAATATACATGAGAGGTTATATACATGGGGCCCAGCTCTATGCATCAATATATATATATATATACATCCTTATCATAGGTACTCCCAAACAGAGGGACCCTAATTTTGGAAAACCCCATAAAGACGGCCAGATAGTGCACGGTCTCGGAGCAGGGAATCAAACAGGCTTACGTTTGCTACATTCCCTGCATGCTACCTGTTGCACTGGGGCTCTCAGGCTATAGGTTTTGGGAAGTCCAGGGTTTAAGGAGGCCCTTCACCCTTAAATCTTTGACAAAAAACGACTGCATGAGCCCCAAACCCACCCAAACGAAGTCTAAACCCATAAGTTCAAACCAAAACGAACAGCAAAAACCGCCAACCCCACCCCCCACAAGAACAGGCAAAATAAAGCATCATAAGGCCGCGAATACTACATTCGCTGAAGCCCCTAGGCCCTCCCAAGAAAAGCCCTGCACCGTAAAGGTTAGAAGAACGCGCAAGCCTCAAGCACGAACCCTTTCAAACCCTATATCCTCAACGTCCCAGTCCTGAACCCGAACACACCCAAACTCCCGTAACAAGCAACACTCCTAAACCCTGGACAAACCCACAACCC